AGTAGCCTATGCCATAATCCCTGATTTTACCCTAATCGGGGTCACATACATGATCAGCGAGTGCTGCGATCTATAGACACGACAATTATTAGGGTACGTTTCCATGAGCGCGTCACGCGTCGCGTCGTCCACCGCGTCACGACGCGACGCGAAAGAGAGAAAGAGAGAGGTATAAACTTCACTCTTTCTCTCTCTCGCGTCACGTCGTGACGCGGACTATACAACGCGCGACGCGCTCGGTGGATACGTATCCTTAGTGTATACGCTTTTGGTTAGGTTAGTCCGTCACATCAATGGAATTAGAGGAACACGTAAGTGATTTTCTACTTCTGCAATACATTTTAGACTACTCGACACGTTTTTGTACGGAATGAACGAATCTGGCAAAAAAAATTATCCCGTGCACCGAAATATTAACCCTTACCGTACCATCTACAATTTGGTGCCTCATTCATACGATCAAGGGTCACTTCAAATCTCTTCGTTTTTTCACCTCTTCAAAATAATTCTAAAAATTTCTAAAAATTCACCAACATACTTTCAACTTTCTAGAATAAATATTGATTCTTTATTTTGGAAAATAATAAAATGTAGTATAATTTATAATTACCGAAAGACTCAAAAAAACTTGCACGAACAGGAATCGCTCGGTCACTAGTTACCCATATTAGTACGGTAAGGGTTAATCGTTAAAGTAGATGACTATTCAGGTTAGGAAATCCGTCATATCGATGTTAGCATAGGGTGCGTTCCGTTTCTCGCATGGTGTGCATAATGCGTCGTTTATCCTTGTTGCTCACCAAATGTTAAACAAGGACAATGGATGCATCATGCGCATCATGCGCGATACGGAACGCACCCATAGATTACAGCAGAGTATTGTTTAATCCTTTATGTCATCGATGCAACAGATTTCCTCTGGATATCTGTCAACTTTAATTAATAACAATTAATAACTCGGTTCGCGGGGCAAATTTCTCATGTAGTGCAAAAATGTGTCGAATGAGTTTATTTTATCAACCTCAAGGAGGTAAGAGTCATGATGCATTTCTTTTCGAGGTTTCCTTGTGGTAAAGTAAAGCCTTTTATTAATGAATCTATCCAGAAACTGTCAAGAAGATTTTTTTCAAATGGAATTTACGAAAAGATGTTTGGAACAAAATTTGGATTCACGTATGGTTGAACATGTCTGTTTATCTGCAACGAACAATTTCCCAAGTCTGTCAGGAGCTATTGCATATTATATGTAATAAACACAAGTAATATTATATTTTATTCCTCCCGTAAATTATCTAATTATTATTATGCACAATGCTTTTTTTACGAAATTTATTTTCAGGTATTATTGAAAATGGGACTCGTCGACTTTACCTCAACTGACTAGACTATTAAAAACGTTGTTTTTGAAAGCTAGATCAGTTTTTTGAAACATTTTCATTTGGAACAAAATTTGGGACTTTGTCAAATTCACGTATGGTTTACATCTCTGTTTAACTGCAACGAATTTGTTAACTAAGTTAGGAAACAATAATGAAAAAAATTTATAATTAATATTTAATATGAAAATAAGAATTTTTTTACAGTAACATGAATGAATAACAAATAAGAAAAGTTTGTGTAACTGTCAATTAAAATGCAAGGCAAGATTATGCCATAATAAACTTAAACAATATATCATTGTTAATTTTGTAATATAAAAGTTAGAATATCAAATTTTATTTTTTTAAAGTCGAGTAAGTTAATCGACGTTGCTAACAGTCGTCCGTAGAATACTATAAATGTAGTATAATTATGTAATAAACACAAGTAATATTATACTTCATTCCTCCCGTAATTATCTAATTACACAGGCCTGCATGGTTTTGTTGATTGGGATTTAACTATGTTTTCTTACGTAATTTTTTGCGCTGAATCCGAATCCGGCGGGAGAATTGCTATATCACGTCAGGTTTTTGAGAAAAGTGAGGTTAAAGGTGTCAAAATTGACATATTTGTGATTTTTTTGCTAGCGAAGTAAATTTTTTTTTTACTTTCGTTTACGCCATCTGAAAGTGTCAACATTTATCTTCAAAATATATTTTTTTTAACGCCGTACGGTTTTTTTTCACCGAGATAATCTCTGTGTAGTCACACAAAGAAAAACATTTTTGACACAAAATGTTTGTGTGATTACGCAGAGATTAATTGTGTTTTCTTACGTATTTTTTCGCGCTGAATCCGAATCCGGCTGCAGAATTGCTCTATCACGTCAAGATTTCGAGAAATCTTAACCCAAAACAGCCAAATAAGCCATTTTAAGCCATATTTGAAATTCAATTAAAAATTGATAAAATTTTTGTCGTCTAATCGATGGTATCATTTACTACTATGCAGCCCCTTCAAAATCCATTTTGGACCGTCCCAAAACGATTTTTTTTCCGGAGATATAGCAATTCGAATTTCGATAAATTGTATCTCGTAGACGCCTAATCTGTAAGGCAAAGTTGGTGACTCCCCGGCCAATGAAGGCAAGGTGGATGACTTCCCGACCAATGAAGGCAAGGTGGATGACTCCCCGGCCAATGAAGGCAAGGTGAATGACCCCCGGCCGAAATACCGTTTGTTCTAATACAACGGTATAGAGATTAGGCTTTTACGAGATACAATTTATCGAAATTCGAATTGCTATATCTCCGGAAAAAAAATCGCTTTGTGACGGTCCAAAATGGATTTTGAAGGGGCTGTATAGTAGTAAATGATACCATCGATGGATTAGACGACAAAAATTTTATCAATTTTTAATTGAATTTCAAATATGGCTGAAAATGGCTTATTTGGCTGCTTTGGGTTAAGATTTCTCGAAATCTCGACGTGATAGAGCAATTCTGCCGCCGGTTTCGGATTCAGCGCGAAAAATTACGTAAGAAAACATAGTTAATCTCTGCGTAATCACACAAACATTTTGTGTCAAAAATGTTTTTCTTTATGTGACTACACAGAGATTATCTCGATGAAAAAAAAACGTACGGCATTAAAAAAATATATTTTGAAGATAAATGTTGACACTTTCAGATGGCGTAAACGAAAGTAGAAAAAAAATTTACTTCGCTAGCAAAAAAATCACAAATATGTCAAAAAACGTCAATTTTGACACTTTTAACCTCACTTTTCTCAAACGTGATAGAGCAATTCTGCCGCCGGTTTCGGATTCAGCGCGAAAAATTACGTAAGAAAACATAATTAAATCCCAATCAACTTTCAACACCTCCAACTTTGCAGGCCTGTGTTATTATTGAAAGGATAGGTATGAGTTTTAGGCTAAACGGGAAGATCGCACTCGGTAGAATGGATAAAGCTTTATTATTAACGTGTTCACAAAGTTAGCCATTATAATAACTAAAGTAGCCTGTATGGGTGCGCTGTCTCGCCGGAAAGTCCGCGACGGTTACGCCGCTGTAGCACCTAAGCTAGCGCGGTCGCTGGTAGTGTCCGAACTAACTTTACCGACGGAGCGTGCGCAAGTCGTTCTCTTACAGCTCGGCCAGCCTGAATTGACACTCGTCCCTGAGTGTCCTTATAACATAAGCTGATTGAGCTACGTAATCTCTTTAACGTAAACTTAAAATTAGTAAAATAAACTATTAATTGTAAAATATAATTGTAAGCTGAGATCACGAAGAATATTGCTGCACTTAAAGTTAACGTAACTATTATAATAGTATCATATTATATAACGATGGTATAATAGAATATAGAGAACTATAATAACGAAAGTGACAAAAATTTGTATTTATATTCTAGTCTTTGGATATTGGAATCCATGGTTTAATTCGGTCGGATAAAATTCCGTGATAATGTCTTTGAGTTAATTGGCAACCAGGAATGTCCTGTACAATATAACGATCATTATCCAATACTTTTTCGATTCTATATGGTCCTTTATACGGAAGATGTAATTTTTTATCCTGACCAGTTTTTGCGACAGTATTTTTGATCATGATATAATCGCCAACATTGTATTTCGTGGGAGTTTTATGACGTACATCATAGTAAAACTTATTATAAGCCTTAATGTGGTCTGATGCTTGCAGAGCAATCTCTCGTTCCTCGTTACAAGAATCTTTGTGATCTTGGATTTTCATTGAATCTTTAAGTAAGTTAGTTAGAAATTGTGTTAACCTGGAATCCGAATGATTCTTCATGTCATATCCCAGTAGCAGTTTGGAGGGAGTACTCTTGATAGAAGTGTGATAAGTGTTGTTTATAATGTACTGCAGATCCTTAATTTTATTAGACCAAGTAATTTGATCATCGATCATTTTTTAAAGCGATGATTTGAGGAAACGGTTGACTCGCTCTACAAGACCATTTGCCCATGGAGCAGCGACCGCTACCATGCGGTGGTCGATATCTCGTTCCCTTAGGAAGTTCGTAAATTCGAATGAGGAGAACGCAGTTCCTCTATCCGACACTAAAGTAGATGGGTTACCGAATGTATTAAATACTGACTCCAATCTGGCGATTGTTTCTTTGGAACTAGTCGTTTTGACGGGGAATAACCACGTGAAGTGTGTGAAAGCGTCTACGAGTAATAAAATATGTTTATAAGAGGTATTCGATTCGATCAAAGGGCCAAAATGGTCCGTATGGAGCGTGTCCATAGGCTTTTTTGGGGTAAGCTCGCAATGATTTTCCCCTTCTTTGGAGTGTACCGATGAGTTTGCTAATAGACATTTGAGACAATTATCTATGTGTTGATTGACTCTTTTACGCATCGACGGGAACCAGTAATTCTTATAAATTCCTTGAACGGTTTTTTCTGGTCCGCAATGGGCGCATTGATCGTGGTAGACCCGAATTATGTTAGGTACCATCGACTCAGGCACTACGAAACGCGGTTTTTTATCTTTACATTTCCTATAAACTAAACCTTCTACAAGGATGTAATCCTCGCGTTCTGAATTTTCAAGAGAAGGAGCGATCTCGCGTAGCCCAGGATCGGCGTGTTGTTTACACTGCAATTCGACGTCCAGAGGTATAGTCTCTAGAGTGGCAACTGCTCGACTTAATGCATCTACGTGGCACATTTTTTCAGCTTTCCGATGTATCATTTTATAGCGATAATTTTGGAGTTTTAACTGCCAGCGAGCAATACGAGGATTAATGTTGGCTTTGGAAGATGCAAGAACCAGCGCGTTATAATCGGTAATGATTGTGAATTCTAAACCATAGATGTAGATGTGAAATCTCTCTACGGCGCGAACCACGGCCAACGTCTCCAGTTCGAATGAATGGTATCGACTTTCAGCTGCATTAGTGGCCTGGCTGTAATACGCTACAGGAGCGAGATTTCCATTGGTCTGTTTTTGAAACAAGATTGCTGCTAACGCGATAGTACTTGCATCTGTGTGCAATTCGGTCTGTGCCCCGGATTATAATGGCACAAAACTGGTTTCGAGATTAATGCAGATTTTAAAACATTGAACGCGTTAAAACAATTGTTGTCAAAATTATATGGAGTTGACTTCTTAAGCAACGCGTAAAGTGGTCTTGCTATCACAGCTAAGTTCTTTATAAATTTTCTAAAATAGTTTACTAAGCCTAAAAATCTTTGTAATTCTCGCGTATTACGTGGCATTGGAAAATCCTTTACAGCAGTGAGGTGTCTATCGCTTAGCATAATGCCGTCCTTATCTATAATGTAGCCTAGATACTCTATCCGTTTTTTAAAGAGTTGACACTTCGCAAAGTTGATCTCGAATGAGTGATTGTGTAACGCCTGTAAGATCTGCTTAAAAATTTGAAGATTTTCTTCGGTAGAGTCGGTATGTATTAAAATGTTATCTATATAAATCAACACTTTCCCCTCTCGAATCAGAGGTTGTAGAATGTTGATAATTCGGCGTTGAAATTCGGCTGGTGATTCACAGAAGCCAAAGGGTAGCCTTTTGAACTCAAATTGTCCACTAGGCGTGGCAAATGAAAAGAATTTAGTATATTCAGGGTGTATTTTAATTGCGTGGAAACTTTCGCGTAAATCTAGAACAGTCAATACTTTTTTGTTAGCCAGTTGAGCCATCAAATCCTCGATAATTGGGAATGAGAAGTGTTGTTTTATTACTTTAGCGTTGAGCGGTCGTAAATCGACGCAAAGTCTAAACTTTCCGTTTTTCTTTTTAACTAAAACGACGCGAGAACAGTATGGGGATGTAGAATCTTGAATAATATCTCTAGCCCGTAGATCTTCGACGAGTCTATCTATCTCTTGTCGCTCAGCCCAAGCGAAACGTCTGGCGGGATACGCAAATGGTACGTCATCTTTTAACTTAACTTTAACATAATAATCCTCTCTGGAAGCTTCTACTGGTTTACTCTGGACTTCTGAAATAATTTTCCAAGCTTGTTTATCTATATCATTGCCGAAGTCCGAGTTGATTTCTAATGGCACAATATCAGACGGGTCATCGACCATAATGTCGGCTGAAGCGACTTCTTTGATTAGCTCTAGTCGCTCTTTATCCGTTGCCTTAGATATGCTGTAAATTAAGGAGAGGTTATTTCTTTTTAAAAAATCTCTACCGAGAATAGCTTGGGTAGGCCAAGTAGCCTTATTTATAATGTGAAAGATCGTTTTGTACGAGGACTGAGGGGACGTAGACAGACCAAAATCGAGTTCTTTTGTACCAATAACATTGATTGTCGAATCACTTAACGTTTGAAAATGCGGAATGTTTGCTTTAGCAAGTTTAGAATTTTGACCAAAGATTAATTTATAAGCCGATTCTTGTAAGAATGAGACAGGACTGCCTGTGTCTATTAACGCGATCAAACTACATGTACGGCCGTTGATTTTGTTAACTTCTACTGTGGTGCTACTTATTGACAAAGGACGTGGAGACTTTACACAGCCAATTGATTGTGAGACCTCTTCCGCTGGCGTAGGCATGATGACTTTTCCGGATGTAGACACCGATGCGACTTGTGACGCTGTTGATGAAGAGACCGTAGAAGACTGCTCCTTTCTCTTAAGCTTGAGGCACTCGGTTTTGACGTGTCCCTGGCGTTTACAGTATGCGCAAACGATGTCCTTGTTCTTCGGCAATGTCGGCGGTGAACTTTTGGTGTTTGAAGACTCCGAACAGTTTTTCGTCTCCTTTGTGAATTTGTGACCATTCTTTTGTACTGGCGGCGGTGAGCGTCTCGCCCCTGAACAGGCACTCGTGAATTACCTCATTTGATCGAGGAAGTCGTCGATAATGTCAGCCTTAAGGGTCGCGGCTGATGCACGGATTGCGAAATTGTTTATACCTGTCACCAGGAATTGGATGCATTCTGTATCTGGGAGGTGTAGTGGGTGCAACAATTTTAGCTTGGCCATTGCGTAGGCCTGAAATGATTCTTTATCGGCGTTCTAGCGCCTGGCCTCGATCTTTTGCATGGTTTCCCTGAAGGGAATACGTCGTCGAAAACGGCGCATGATGGCTTCCTTGAAAGATTGCCATGAATTAAGTATGTATCCGGGATCCAAGTCGAACCATTCCCGAGCCACTTTTTGTAACTTCTGCGAAGCCGCCATAATTAAAATTTTCTCACCTATTTCGTATAGTCTAGCGGTGAATTCGACTTTCTTCAGCCAAGATTCGATGTCGTCATCTTCGCCGCCCGAGAATGTGGGTAGCTGCGCGACAAGTAGTGTGACCATTTGAGCCGGTGAAACCGTCTGGAAGCCCGGGGCAGTTGACGCCATAGGGGCACCCTGTGTATAGAAGTTCTGGTGAGCTTGATATATCGGAGGTGATCCCCAAGCTGGAAAATTCCTGCCGAATGGCTCGGCTGGCAATGTATGAACTTCCTCTGTCAGGTAATTCATGTGTGGTACCTGCGAAGTGATTGGTATATTGGAGGGAAGGTTAGGTGTCCTCTCTATTTGTGGGGCCATGAATGGACTCGGAACCGAAGCCGAAGTGATGGCCTCCATTTTACTTTCCTTTTCTTCTAGTCTTCTAATAAAGAGGTCAACTTTTTCCTCCAATGAAAGTTCTTTTATGGTATTACGTATAGAGCTAGACGCTACCTGGGCAGGCACGTTTTGGGCCTGTGTGTCACCGAGAGGAACGGTAGAGCTGCCAACAACCACGTCATCCGCATTCTTCTGTCTCGACGGGTTTTTGTTCTTTTCGTAGAATACTGTAAGGCGTTCAATGCACGCACGTCTGGTATCAGGGGGTAAAATCCCCGCTTTCATGAGCTCGCTACGGAGCTTCTCGTCGGAGAGCTTCTCCAAATCTTCTTGACGCATCGTCTGGCCGGAACGGGTCAACACCATTAAGTCTTTATAAACGACACACAAACTAACAGTTAGAGAGTCAACTCGCGCGGGAAAGCTGAAGCGCGACGTATGCAACAGTAACGGGTATGGCACTGCCCGTATTACTGATTAACGAACTCGACACTTAAGGGCCGAAAAGCGTTATTGTGAACGCGGAGACAAATCGTACGAACTATTAACAGCGGTGGGCCGCCTAACACTACTGAGAAACGGCGTGACTGCTAAAAATGGCGGACGGCACGGAAAAACTCTTTGCACGCGGCGACGTGAAAGTGAACGGTACTAACGAGCGGAAAAGATCCGTAAGGAAAAACAAACCGAGAAGGATGGGTAGGAATCCCACTTCTGAGCTGAAAGGATAGGTATGAGTTAGGCTAAACGGGAAGATCGCACTCGGTAGAATGGATAAGGCTTTATTATTAACGTGTTCACAAAGTTAGCCATTATAATAACTGAAGTAGCCCGTATGGGTGCGCTGTCTGGCCGGAAAGTCCGCGACGGTTACGCCGCTGTAGCACCTAAGCTAGCGCGGTCGCTGGTAGTGTCCGAACTAACTTTACCGACGGAGCGTGCGCAAGTCGTTCTCTTACATTATGTATGAGGCTTTTTTTACGAAATTCATTTTCAGGTATTATTGAAAATTGGTGGGACTCGTTGACTTTATCTCAACTGACCAGACTATTAAAAACTTAATTTTTGAAAGCTGGACCAGTTTGGAACATTTTAATTGGGAACAAAATTTGGTCAAATTCACATATGGTTTACACCTCTGTTTAACTGTATAATATACTTAGTAAGTCGAGTTGCCTATATGCCTATAGGCAGAAGCACGCGTTACTGGTAATGTAGAATATGATTAGATCGCAAGTCCGGCGGGGAATGATAAAGGACAACATTTAATATATATTAAAAAATTATTTTAATCTTATTATTGAACTTTATAATACACTATTATCATGTAAAATTCAATATTGTCTCATTCCCCGTTGG